AATGATAAGGTCATCAAACGTGAGTTCAAGATCGGCAGTCTGGTATTACGAAGAAACCAGAAAGACTCCCGCAAAGGGAAATTGGCCGCGAACTGGGAAGGGCCCTATCGCGTCCACGGAGCCACAGGCACTGAGGCATACTACCTCGAGCAGCTAGACGGAGAACCATTACCACGACCCTGGAATGCTGCTAAACTAAAGCAATACTATAGCTAAAACCCTTAAGCACTAAGGACTCTCGCTGTCGAACATCCACATCTAGTTAACAGAGAGAAATGTCTCGACCACGTAGATGAGCCAAGGTACGGGCCCAATCTACACCCAAACGACATAACGCCGTTCAGCCAAATAAGGACGAACGATGATGCCCGACAGGGACACCTCAATCGAGCCCCACTGTCGAAGTACCCACATGGCAGAACATCCAGCTCGTGATGGGCAGTTCACGCCACGGGCATATGACCTCGATCTGGGTCGTGCGCTCGACATGCGGGCTCAACTCCGCACAACCGACGTATTTCGAAGTACGTCAGACCACCAAAATGGGTCGAAAGGATCTTCACTCGAGGACACAACTTAGAAAATTTTTGTCACAAAGTAACAGTCGAATACAAGCCTAGCTCGAGGACATAACTTAGACAAATTTCGTCACAAAGTAAAACTTAAATACGAGCAAGTTTAAAAGCTAAATAAACATCCATTGAAAGTTATACACAAGACGAGTTAAAAATAGGCCGACCAAAAAGGCCGGCGATGTTCAGGGTTACAAGCCATGGCACATCGGCCAAAAGAAATAAGCACGGGCACGCAGGCCCAAAAAATGAGCACGGGCACGCAGGCCCCAAAACAAATACCAAATAAGAGGGCACACAGGCCCGACCAGAAACTCCACGCTAAACGTTCCCGGGACTACCGGCATCCACCACAGGAGACTCAGGAGGAGGCACAACCTGGCCGTCAATAATCTGAGACATGAACCCCACTCCCTCGGTATTCATGCCTGGATTCAGTATGGCAAGCTGGCTGACCGCGGCCTCGAACCCATCTGCTAAAGCGCCGACACAGTCTGTCTCAAGGAGGTGGATGCGCGCGACCAGATCCGAACGGGTCCGCAAAGGGGCTGTCTCCTCCGACTCATCTTCGGTAGGAAGCATAGCAACTTTCAACTCCTCGACTTCCTTAGACAAATGTTTGTTGTCAGCCTCTAAGCGTTCCTTGTCCAGTCGAAGGCAATTCCTCTCCTCAGCAACCTTCCCAGAGTTTTCCTTCTCCCTCACCAGCAGGTCGGCTTGTTCGCGAAACATTTCCTCGGATCGCTCGAGGGTCGCTTTTAACTTACGAGAACTGGCAGCAAGGATAGCTTTCTCCGACTCCAACTCCCTGTCGCGATCCGAGGAGTCCGACCCTTCCTCGACAAGGACAACGGCCATCTCGGCCATCTTCACCATCCCGACCATACTGGCGGCCAGGTGTTTCCTCCGACTTTCTTTGTTGAGCCGTCTAATAGTCTCGGCCTCGTCGTTGCTCACCGTCAGAGGAAACCCCTCGAAGAAATATTTCTCTTTGAAACAGCGGGGTAAGCCGAAGGCCCTCGCAGCTACAGGCTCGTCGCCAACCTCCGACCTATCATCTTCTCGACTTCTCTTCCTTGTGATCAGCTCAGTGGGCTGTTCAACATCGGGGGAGTCCGGGGACCCACTAGAGGCATCGCCCGAACTGGTCGGCGGGCCCATCCTCGTGGCTTGCGGAGCCCGCACCAGCCTTTTGTTTACTTTCTTGTTCTAAGTCAGTTTCAACAGCCTCTCCCATTGTTCAGCCATGTCTCCTGCAAAAAAGAGCGAAACTCGGGTTAGTTGCGAGCAGGCAAAAACAACGAAAGTGAAATAAAACAATAATAAAAGCAAAGGCAAGAAACCTAGTAGATCTACGGCCTGCCCGTAAGATTGGCACTCCACGAGCGCCTTGGTGTCGATGGGACGGGCCTCGAATGTCGGGTACCCCTCCTCGTCAAGAATATCTCCCCCTCCCTCGTGACCCACCGGGCAGGGAAGAAGCTGTCGACATACTTGCAAAGGATACCATAGGCTTCTTCGTCCTCGGTGCTCATGCTTCCCGCGGGCGTATGATAGTACCCAGTGCCATGGTCGTAATGGCCCGAGCACCAATGTAACGGGAACTTGGATATGCGCCCCACTGCCGGACGACCCTCGGTGTCCATGAGGGGCTCCCCGTCCTCGTCGACTATCGCGGTTTCCGGTTCATACAAGGAATCCAAGGAAGTCTGAGTTACCGGCTGCAGAACGTACCACTTATCCTTGAAGCCCCGGACTGAATCCATATACATCCTGAACAACCTCTTCGACTGTTTTAGGGATACCCAGCTATGCCTGCCTCCTCGAGACTGACGCTGCAGGTGAAAAACCCTGAAGAAAAGGGGAATCGTCGCCCCGATCCTCAAGAAACGGCATGTCAGCTCGAATGCCCGAAGGAAGGCGATCGAATTAGGGTGAAGCTGCGAGGGGGCCAGATGGCAGAACACCCCGACTTGGAAATCGCTGAAAGGGAGCTTAAGACCGAGATCCCTGAACACGATCTCGTACATTGGAAACCGATACTCGGTAAACTCCGAGCAGATTCGCGCATCGATGGACGGCCTCATCACAATAAAATTCTTCTGGAAACCTGGCTGATCACCGCCGTGCTCGACGACAGTATATGCACGCAACTACGCCGACAGTACGCCGAGGTAATCCCTCAGGGCTCGGCGCCCACCCAGTCCAACGAGGGGTCATCGATAATATCAACTAAAGTCACGTTCTCTTCGGCACTTTGGTCCGCGACTTCATTTTTCCTCAAAGATTCCGGTTCGTCGGCCATTTACCTGCAAAGCACGGGAAATTGGTGAAATTCGAGAGCAAATCCGCATGCTCGCCACATTGACAGGAAGTAGTACACGACAAGCCGAACATAGACACCCCAGCTCGACCAGGCGTCGGGAACAACAAGGGAATAAAATGAATAACTCGAGCAAGGTCTTGACTTCACCTGCCCGACACTAAGACGCTGCGACGAGTTATCCTACATACTTCCTAAGGGGTCAACATCCCGACCAACTCATGGGTACGCCGACCAAAACTATGAATATGATGGGCAGTATCATAGATCATATGCCTAAAACTACAAATGTCACGGGCAGTATCATAGATCATGTGCCTAAAACTATGAAGGTCACAGGCAGCATTGCGAGTCACGTACCTAAAACTATGGGTTTACCGGGCACAATCATGAGTCTACCGGGCACTACTCCCAGATGTGGGTTTCTAACATCCAAATAACGTTAAAACTACCTACAACGAAGAAAAACAGGAGGTATGAACACTTACTTGGAAGAAAAGATGAACGTACGACAGTGATGGGAGTAATCAACGGAGGATGGTGCGGTGATCTCACGGTGTTGCAGAAAATGACGGCGGCAGAAGCAGAGGAAGAAGGATAAGCGCAAAGAAGAAAAACAAATTATGGGCCCCAAGGATCCTATTTATAGGATGACGTGGAATACGAAACGTCGCTCCGGGGAGCCGCGAACTTCCCCTCCTCGACATCTATTCCCCTAGGAAATGATGACCCTATTGTCGCTAGGGTGGCGTCACGGTTCCCAAGGATTGCCTCGTGTATCCAACAAACACAACCCGCGAGGAACTCCCCGAGCACGCATCGACGAGGATTACGCTACGAACGCAACCCGTGAGAAACTACTCGAGCACGCATCAAAAAAGCAAAATCCTGGTCCGGGCATCAGATCCCCGTGGTAAAGGCGAGCTGAAGTTAAGTTATAACTTCTGCCCCAGGAGCAACGACTTGGGGGGCTCCTGTTCTAGACTGGGCCCACCCTGGCCCAAAGCGCAGATAAAGGCCCAATCCAAGCAGACTCCTCGAAGAATGCGCACCCGCGGATCACCGCCGACGTGCCCGACCACAGACTGTAGCCACGATGCCCGCCATTGCCCGCGATGCATAGCGTCCCCGACCAAGGGAACTCCAGCTCGAGTCCTGCTCGAGCACCCTCCCCGTAGGGTAGATTCTGTCCATTTTGACCGTTATCGAATCCTCTAAACTCCGGAAAGACCGCGTCTTCGTCCCTCCTCATTCTTCGCAGAGCACCACCAGGAAGGGGACCACGTGCGGGGCCCCACTACGCACGTAGAACCTTGCAGTTCCTTTATTGGGCCAGTTATGGTCAGCCCAATGAGAGAACCTTGGCCCAACGCTGGGGGCTATAAATACCCTCTGTTCCCAGAGGGCCAGGTATTCATCTATTACGCACTTATACATTTTTCACCTACTCATTCCGTCACTCATTTCAACATCGGAGTGTCTTGCAGGTATCCCCATCTCCCTCAAATTCTGCTCGAGCCAATCGTGACGGTTCAAATCTGATCAGGTACGATCAAAAATCATATAATATTTTAAAACCACTTTCACTTGCCATGTTCCAATATTATGTGTCACTAACATTAATATATTTTTCAGCCTTAAACTTGAAATATCTCAATTTTTTTCAATAAAACAAAATCTCAATTACCTCTACGAAAAATTCTTATAGGAAAATAACCATAAATTCATATTTTTAGAAACAACCAATAAGAGATTAAAATTTATTTAAATTTAAATTTATATTTTAATTGAATTTATGAGTTGGTTATAATATGAAAGGAGAGAAACAATTATTTATTTATTTTTTAATTAATAAAAAGTTGTGATTGGTTGTATAAAACCAACTATTATGATTGTATCTGTCTAACCATTTTTCTTACTCTTAAAATATAATATAGTAGAATGTTTAATTTAATACTTGTATTCAATTGGTTTCAAGTCAAATCGATCCTAACAACTTTCCGATATATATATATATATATATATATATATATATATATATATATATATATAGCAGATGCTCTTAGGGTTCATTCTTGAATTAAACAGCACCATTCTAACCTCGGATGAATCTCTCTCCATCTAAATCACGGCGCCAGCCCAAGTTGCCGCCGTCATCACCACCGATGAGTCTTCCCGACGATCTTATCATTGAAGTTTTATCATTACTTCCCGTGAAATCTGTTATGCGGCTCAAGACTGTTTGCAAGTCCTTGAATGCTATAATCTGTAACCCTAAATTTATAAAACTCCACCAAAAAATATCTGAACAAAACAAACGGATACTGCTAATCTCGAATGACTCAAGTGGATCCATATATGTAGGAGCCGATTCTTGTCTGAAGAATCCGCTGATCCCTTTTGCAGATGCTGCTTACTGCAGATTGAAGAAAAAGGATAAGATAATAGCCATCGGTTACTGCAATGGTTTGTTCTGCTTGTTTGGTTATTCTCGTAATACCATGGAAGATTGGCTTTATTTCTGGAACCCTGCTACGAAGACAATATCTCAGAAATTCAAATATTCTACCAATGATAGTGACTGTATCATATTTGGGTTTGGTTATGACAATTCGACCAACACTTATAAGGTAGTGACCTTTTGTCAAATGACTAAAGTTGCTAGAGTTTTTTGTTTGGGTGATAATAGTTGGAGAAATATTCAAAGGTTTCCCGAGTTTTGTATTTTCTCTAGTTTTTGCCATAGCGGCGTGCATTTGAGTGGCACTCTAAATTGGTCGGTAGTTGGAAATGATGTTACATATGATTGGGAGGAGAATTGTATAGTTAAGAATTTTGTAATCATCTCACTTGATTTATTGACAGAGACATGCACACAGTTGTTGCCCCCTCAAGGTCAATGTTTGGGAGAAGGGTTGATAGTTGAGCCAACTATTTGTATGTTTATGGACTGTCTTTGTTTATCTTATGGTAACAATGAGTTCTCTTTTGTGATATGGAAGATGATGGAATTTGGAGTTCAAGAGTCTTGGACTCAATTTCTTAGATTTAGTTATCTCAATTTTCCGGAACTTTTCTTTGGTAAAAACTTGGTGCCATTGTGCCTTTCTCATAATGGTGATGAATTGATCTTGGCAGACCGCTTAGAAGGACAACTAATTCCCTATAATTGCAGATACCATATTGTGGACCCAAGTAGAATTGCCAAAGGAGAATGGGGGATCTTTGTCAATAATTATGTTGAAAGTTTGGTTTCGCCGAATGGAATGTAAAAGATTATTTTTGTTTGAATTCATATTAAATCACATTTTTTGGTTTGATATATAGATAGATGAGACCGAGAGAAACAACACCGATGATCATTTCACCTTGGTTTTATATTTACTGATTTTACCTGTCAAAACTTGGTCACAGATGATATATTGAACAAACCTTTTCTGTTATTATATTTAAGTAGTCAAACTCAACAATGTAGGTCATGAGATTTCTGCATTTGTTTTAAAATTCATGTTTTGATTAGTGCATTAAACTTCAGCCACCATTATGAAAACCTATTGAGCTCTATGAACATCTCATGTTTAGTTGTTTGTCCTTATATTGATCCTAATGAAACTATACAGGTTATTATAAGACAGTGACAATGTGTCTGGAAATGCCATTTTAAAGATTGGAGTTGAGATCCCAAAAATTAATGTTTAATAAAGGTAATTTGTGAAAGTTGAACGGTAATAAGTAAAATCACCTTAATCCTAAAATAATCAAAGTATTAGTGTTTAAGACTTTAAGTTACTTTTCTTGATTTAATATTGTCTAACACTTCAAGTGGAACTTGAAACATCTCATTAATAAGACTTGAGATATTTCTTCTTTGTTTATACTCCATCACCAGAGATCTTTAGAACAGTGTGATTGTTGTGATCAAATATATCTGACACTTATTATCAACTCCCCCTTTGACTTGAAACATCTCATTGATAAGATTTGAGATATTTCTTCTTTGTTTATACTCCTGTGATTGTAGTGATCAAATATATTTGACACTTATTATCAACCTCCCTTTGACAATTGTCATCAGACACTTTTGAAATAGCTATTGTTGGATGATAATATGAGAATGCAACGGTTTATAGAGGGATTAATAGACCTCCCAAGTAAGATTGGCCGATTTGAAAAATAGTTTTGAAAAGTTTACCAGAGTTTAAAATCAAAACCGATTTGTGTGGCTGAAGCAATGTGCACATAAAATCGGTTATGCTTATTAGATAACATATATACATAAAATTAAACACTTTAATTGGTACACAATATGATAAAAAAATGATTCAAACAGCTAGCGCAAAAAAAATTAAACAGTGTATTGAATTAATATCAAATTTACACAAGTTGAGTAAATATGCCGAATCAATAAATTGGAGATTTATATGTTCAAAGTTTTTAGTCTTAATCAACAAGAAGATAATTCAAAGTGTCTATTTAAACAAAACCTACACTTAATTAATAAATCGCTACCAAGGCAAAATCTAATAGCATATGATTCTAACAAAGCGGTAAAAGCGACATGTTATGTTGCGGAACCAAAAATGGTGATGATTGTGGAAACTACTGTGGAGCGGAGCTTTCGATGCACTACACGGTGCTTCTTGAACCAGAGGTATTGGATTTGATGTGATGTCGTTTGTAACACCCTTCTAAATTCCGCGTATAATTTATGAATAAATTAATTAAAACAACAATAGGGGTGTCACATTTCATAAAGACATAACTATCCTGCTCCGTAACACGGTTGACAACAAAATATTTAACTTTTTCAAACATACACATTCATGATGTTTACACGATATCAATACTTATCTGAAAATACTGCAACGCGGAATCATCATCAAGAAATTAAATTTTAAAACAACAATATAATTTGAGTCTTAAACTCCAACTTTGATAACATTGATAAAAGTGTTGTCAACACTCAACTCAAAATATCTCAACAAGATCATTAGCACTTGATTCTAAAATAAACGACATAATAATTCAAGAAAATCAAACGTCAACCTCAACCCGATGTTACATGAATCAGAGCATAATTCCACTACATAAGATGATAAACTGTAAATAAACTCCAGTGGCTAACTTCCTCTTACATCCACGGGACCTACTCCTGAGTATATACAAGTTACCCATGCGGAGACAACATTCGAACAGAAAGGGTGAGTAATCATAAACAATTATAAAAGACATAAGAAAAGAAAGACTGCAACATTAATATACAACCAATCAACAACATTAACATATAATAACTCACAACCAAACATCATCAACATCACGTACAACCATAATTCAACACACAACATATCACCAACAAAGTTATACAATGCTACATAACTTCTATGCACTGGACATGTGACTCAAATGTATGTGGTACCAATCATGAACAGACGGGTTCATTTCACTCTCTGTTCCACCACCATAGGATACATGATCCGCTACCATAGAATCTAGTTCACTCTTGAATCGAAGTATAACAACAATCATTACTGCCATTGTAGGCAACACTTCACTAATTTCCTCATACATGAATTAGCTACTCACACTCGAACCACCACCATAGGATCAAGGCCACAATATAATTAGAACTAAAGTTCTGACAATATGGTTGCGTGGTTTACAAGATGCAGAAACAACATCATCAACATAGATATTTCAACATTCAAGCAATATTTTCATCAATTCATCACACAACAACATCATTTGCTACACGAAGATTCAATCATGATTCAACAATACATCGAATTAGTACATAAATCAAGTATAGCTTATCAATACTCTAAACACAAGCTTATTACTATAATCTTTTATCATTCATCATGAAAATACTTCAGAAAAAGGTTTAAGAACAACCAAAAATGGATACATGTTGAAAAATAGCGTTTCTGGGCAAATTCTAGGTGCATGTGCCGGCATATACATGTTACAGGTCGGCACATTTACTCTCATTTTAAAGCGTGTAGCATCTTGCATGTGTCGGCACATATAGCCTTCATGTGTGGCAGATGAGTCAATATTTTATAAAAATCACTTTTTCTAAAGATTGTGAGCTGACACATTGCTCGTCCAGGTTAGCATATATTGTTGTTTTAGCATGAAAACTCAGATTTTAATCATTTAAACACCAATTTACATACCATCAACTTGTTCCATAAAATCATATAACAATAATTCAATTTTATACTATTTTAACCTCTTAATTTCATCTATCATATCATGGGATCATGGATTAACAATACATTCTAACTATAACACCAATTCATTATTTGTAATCCTCAATTCATCAAATTAATGTAAAATCGAATCATGGTCCATGAAGCACATAATTAACAAATCACCTTGCAGCAGAAACATCATCAAAGATTTCATAACACAACATGTAATGCACACAACATCAAGATCACATATTTCACAATTTTCATCAATATTCATAACAAATCAATATCAACAAAGAGAACTAAAATCCTACATCTATCCTTCCCTAATACAATTCATAATTGAGAACCATTACTCATCCTTACCTTAGATATTCTCTAGACATTGCTTCCCTTTCCCTATAGATGGATGCTCTCTTGCCTTATCCTCGCCCTAGCCTTTTTTCCTCCAACTTTCATGTAGAATGCATAATGAATCCTCTTCTCTTATTTTTTTCCTTTTTCTATTGTGAATATTCCCTCTATTATTTTTTCTCTCAGTTACCCTTAACTTAAACTCATGCAATTACCTCAATGCCCTTAAAATTTCTACACATTCTATTTATTTTATTTCCCTTATTATTATTATAATTATTAACAACATAAGACTATTATTTATTTAATCAAGATTATTTTCTATCTCAAGGACTTACATCCCCACCAAAAATCTAACAAACACAATCAATCACATAATATTCGTAAATAAATACATAAGCCACTTAATTTCTAAATTGGGGTGTTACAACTCTCCCCCACTTAGAGAATTTTCATCCCCGAAAATTACTTAAGGAAAATAGAATCGGGTACACTCTCTCATTTGATCCTCACGCTCCAAAGTCATACTCCCACCAGCTGGTCCTCCCCACACTATCTTCACCAAAAAAATCTCTTTAGCATGCAACTACTTCATCTCCTGATCCTCTATCCGTATGGGTGATGCTTCAACTATTAGGTTATTTGTCACATGTACATAATCCATTGAATCACATGAGAAGGATCCGAAATATATTTTCTCAACTGATACACATGAAACTCATCATGAAGATTAGCAAGTGACGATAGAAAAGCAATATGATAGGCCACCTCGCATATCCTCTGCATAATCTGGTAGGGCCAACAAAACGTGTTGTGAGCTTACACGACTTTATATCCTACCAACACCAGTTATCAGAGTAACTATCAAGAACACATGATTTCCCTCTTGGAAATAAAGTGCTTTCTTCTCTTATCATGATAGCTTTTCTGACGAATCTGCGAAGCTTTCATCTTATCTTGAATCATATTGATCTTTTCGGTTGTCTCCTGACTAATATCAGGTCTCAGCAAAACAATCTTGCCTGACTCATACCAACATAATATAGTCATATACCTTCTACCATATAATTCCTCATATGGTTCCATGCCAATACTAGCATGGAAATTGTTATTGTAAGTAAATTCAATCAATGAAAACTATCGCAAGCACCTTCTTGTTCTAACATACAAGCCCTAAGAAAATCCTCCAAAGACTGGATGGTTCTCTCTATCTGATCGTCCGTCTGTAGATGATAAGTAGAACTCAACCTCAACTTAGTACCCAAAGCCTGATGCAAAATTTCCCAGAACCTTGACGTAAACCTCTGATCTCTATCTGACATAATACTCAAAGGTATTCCATTTAGTCTCAAAATATCTTCGATATACATCTCATCTAACCTCTACATGGAATGATTGATCCTTATTGGTAAGAAATGAGCCAATTTAGTCAATCTATCCACTATTGCCCAAATCAAATCATTACCCTTAGTAGTCTTCGGCAAACCTCTACATGGAATTGTTGTCCTATTTCCACTCTGAAATATTCAATGCTTACATTAGACCTAAATGCTCCTGGTGTTCAATCTTAGACTTCTGACAAGTCAAACAAGCTTTAAAAACTCAACAATTTCCTTCTTCATATCGTAGCACCAAAATAATTTATTCAAATCTTGATACATTTTTGTTGCACCTGGATGAATACTTAGACCACTTCGATGTCCTTCCTTAAGTATACTCTTCTT